TGTCCATATGAACTTATAATTTTCTCTGTCATTTTTGTTGGATTATAATAATAAACTTACAATTTTCTCTAGACTATACCAACAAAAGTGCAGAGAATGATATTTCTCTGGTTTAAACAAATTTCTCTGGTTTGAAAAAATAGAGAACAAAGCTTATCATTGATCAGCATGTTGATGAAAAACAGAGCACGAAAAATGAACTTTGATTAGCATGTTGATGAAAAACAGAGCACGAAAAATGAACTCTCATCGGCATGTTAATGAAAAACAGAGTATGAAAAACGAACTCTAAACATCAAAATTAACCACACTGTCAACACTCTTTGAAATTGATCAAAAAACAGAGAATGAAAAATTAATTCCAAAAATAAAAATCAACTCTATCAAGCTGGCATCTGTCTACAATTGATCAATAACAGCAAATGAAAAATCAACTCCAAAAATCATAAACAACTTCACTGAGCTAGCATCTCTTTTAAATTGATCAAAACCGAAAACAAAAACCTAATGCAAAAATACACTCGAAAAACTAATATGAAATCGGAATCCTTACATAAAATTCAAAACAAAAATAAAAAATTCATGTGGAATCTCTATTGAAACCATACCTGATTCAACTCTAACGAAAAACCTATGCGATCAACACACTATAACACCTACACGATCATCGTAATCTCTATCGTGAAGTCCACTGCAACACTTGCGAAATCCCTACAAAATCTCTGACAAAATCTCTACTGTGAAATCAGTTTCCCAAATCTCACCGTGAAGTCAGCATTGCCAAAATCCAAACAATCTTATGTTATAATGAGGGTAAATTAGGTATTTTATAACATAAAATAAAGTTGAGGGACCTTAGCCATCATAACATATTATTGTGTACCTCTCCTCTTATTAAAAGTTGGGGAGGGACCTTAGGCCAATTTTCCCTTAATTTTTTTGTATTTTTTATTTGTTTTATTATTTTATATAAAAATAATTTAACAATCTCTACACTAACAACTATCATCAAAACAAATACAATTATATTTAATCGTCTACATTCTACCTCTGAAAACAAACAGAACACTAGTATAGAAAATAACAAAAATTTAAAAGTTGTCCAGACTAAAACAAATTTTATAATAAGATCAAAATATCCTTTTTGCTTTTCTTTTTATTTTACCCTTCCACCTTATATACCCTTTCATCATTTTTTCAAATTTAATGTTTTACATTATTCTCATATGATTCAAACCACCAATCAAGGTTTTACATTATTCCCGTATGATTCAAACCACCAATCAAGACCTGTTTGGACGATTGTGATTGTTAATAACTTATCTGTTTGATGTATCTTATCAATTTGTATCTTGACATGTTTTTATATATTTGTTTGATTTTTTAGAATATGTTTTTATAAAAATTCGAAAGGCTAGTTTATTGGGAAGAAAAATCAAACTTTCATTATTTTCATATAATTTTTTATTTGTTAAAACATAAAATATTTTTTTTGAAAACTTAAGAATATATTTGTATATTTATTATGTCAGACTAATTTCTATTTTTTCAAAATAAATTCAAAAAATAAATTTTAAAAGCTCAACCAAATAAACATTTCGCAACTAGAGCTACCAAGACCAAAAAGGTTGGCCAGACTCACCATATTATACAAGTGCACTACGGCTCCGTTTGGCAAGAGCTAAACGGGATTTTTTGGTTATTTTAGTCATAAAAGACAAAATAGGCTATTTTAGCCACAAAAAATAAAACATTACATCCACCCCATAATCATTACATTCTTCTCTCACAAAAAAAGTCAAAAAGTCAAAAAGTCCTTCCCAAACCAAACTTTTAAGCCCAGGCTAAAATAGCCAAAAAAGTCAAAAAGCTAAAAAGCCAACCTACTTCCCAAACGGAGGCTACATGATTTTTTTATTTATATTTTTATTATCACACTGCTTGTTTTTTATAATAACACTGCACTTTTTTTAAAAAAATTTATTATCATATTGCACTCTCATTTACGTCATTTTAATAAGTTAAAAAACGAGAGTACATTTGTCCAAGCATTAAAATAAAAATCTTCTGAAAAACACCATAATTAATTTCCATGTTTATTCTACATTTCCCATACAAATAGAGTAATAGTAATTACGGATCGGGTTGAGTCAAGTGGTATTCTATTCGCTATCCGTCTAAAATTAGGTAGATTAAAAAAAATCAATCCGTATCCGTCCACCAATTTGGTGGATGCGGATTGAGCAAATCGTTTAGATTGGCGGATGGATGCGATCGATTTAGCGGTTTAGACTTCACAATTTTTGTGTATTTTTTTAAATTATAATTCATAACTTTTACCATCTCCAATAATTAGTAATTTAAAAAAAAAATGTGTTATTTGTCTATAATAGAACATGACATCACGCATGCATATTTTTAGGGTATTATTTTTCATTTTCACAAAAATATATATTTTATTATTTTTACTTTATGTTATTGTTACTTGTTAGCACTTTCTTTTTCTTCTTTTTTTTTTGGACTTCACCTACGGATGGATTGGATTCATACAGGTACGGGATAGTTGATCTGCTATCAGAACCATATCCGTAGATTTTAAAATGTTTCATCTATTTTCATCTCCTAAAAGAGATGCATCCACTCAAAATTAATCGGATTATATTGGTTCAATTGAATTGGACAAGTTAGATGGATCTATGATCACCCTAAGTTAAAATCATTTATTACTTTTTTTAATATGTGTCATAAAGACACATGATAACAAGACCCAATTACTAATTACTGTTACTAGTAAAAAGTTATTACATATTCTTTAAAAAAAAAAAAAAAAAGTTTATGCCTTTAATTAAGGGTTTTGTTAAGGTGGTGTTTGATAAAATTGAAAATTGAAAATTAAGCAATAAAAATGAATAATGCTATATGTACTAATTAATGTACATACTAATATACTAATAGATGATGTGACATCATTTGTATGGTTTTAGGTATTTGTAACTTGTATAATAAATGTGGTCAATAATAATATCATAACACTAGTTGGAACACTAGTGTGTACACTAATTAGTATATGTAGCACCACCGAGTAAAAATTGAATGTTGAATTTTTTAAATTGAAAAATTATTTGATAAAAATTTAAGTACTAAATTAAAAATAACTTATTTGATATGTATAAGATATAATTTGAAAATTATTTTCAAATTATATTTTTTTAATTTTCATATTGTGATTGTGAGTTGTTGGTGGTGGTAATAGAGGAGAGCGAGGATGAGGCGTTAACTATGACGCTAATGACAATGGTAATAAAGATAAGGGGTGTTCACAGATCGGTTCTGTGCGGTTCGGATGATAGGTTGGACCTGCCTGATGAGGTGCGGGTTGGGAAAAAATGGAACCACGTTCGCCCGCAATGCGGGTTACGGATTGAATGGGTGGGTCACGCGATTGTATGGATGGTTTGTGAATTAATTTTTTATTTTTTTAAAATAATTATTTTTTGGCTTTTATGTTGGGGCCTTCCCCATTTTCTAAAGCCATAAAAAAAACAAAAACAATGAAAACAGTTAGCTTAGCTTTATCACATAGCACTGGTATGATACCAGTTACAAGTTTACAACAATGAAAACATAAGTATGCAAAGCAAACCCACAAGACAACAAAAATAAATAAAGAAACCAAATCTAGGTACCTTCGTTAAATGAAACATTTTATTTATTTATTTATTTATTTATTTTTTGTGTTATAGATCTTCCAGATCTGGTGGCGACGGCGACAGGAGAGAAGAGGATGGGACAATGACAACCAACCAATGACGTGGCTGGTGGTGACAGAGCGGCAATGGAGTAGGGGACCAGGGTTGATCTGCGAGAGACAACAACAACGGTAGAGGAGAGGAGAGAGATAGCAACGGGAGGAGATGAAAGAGACGGTGAGCAAAAGGCAAGAGATGGTGGTGGTGACAACGATGGAAAGGAGGGAGAGAGAGAGAAGGGCCAGATGAGAAAAGAGAGAGAAAGAGCTGGATAGGGTAGAGGGAGAGAGGAGGACACCCAAAATAAATTCAACAAATGATGTGAGAGTAGTTTTTTTTTATTTATTTTAAACATAATTTGCAACGCGGGTCATGCGGTTTCGCAGGGAGGGTCGGGTCTGACAAGAACCCGATTTTTACATGAAAAATAGACCCGCACCGCCCTATTTATGTATGCGGGTAGGGTTGAATTTGTGCGGGTAGAGTGGGTTTGAGTGGGTTCTACGGGTCGGATAAACCGCTGCCCACCCCTAATAAAGATAGATGGATAGTTGTGGTGATGATAGAAATGTAATTTTTATCAGAAATGATACAAATCCCCACAAAACACCTCATTCCGATGACCCCTACGCACACATGTTATAGAGATAGGAAACAAAAAAAATAAAAAAACAAAAAAAAAAACAAAAACACACATGACCAATCACAATTGGTGGTGTTTGGAAAGAATTGTAGTTGGATTTTTTCTCATTTTTTTCACTAAAAGACAAAAATTTTGCAAAACCAAAAAAAACACATCCAAACAAAATATCACATTCAATCCCATAATCATTTCATTTTTTCTCTCACAAACATCACATTCAATCACAAAAAAACTCAACTATCTTCCCAAACACAAAAAAAATTTCTTAAATAATATCCTATATCTAAAAAAATCTACATAAAAACCCACTTCCCAAACACCATCAATAATTTGGGGGTTATGGGATCATAGAGATCCCCTAAAATGGACTCCAAAGTATTTTCTAATTTTTATATTTATCACTTTTTCTCTTACACTGATTTATTCAAGCGAAAAAAAAAAAAATTTCAAATTATTCTAAATTTCAAAATTATTTTTAAAATATATAACTACATAAATTTTAAAAATTTATAAACTCTCTTAAAAAATTTATTTTTAAAATAATATTTCAAACCACAAATGAAAGAATATTTTTCAAAACAAAAAAATATCTTTTATTTTAGGGTTTAGAAGCGCCAGCAAAAATCGCAATACCTTCTCTCCCACACTCCCGCTACTACACATTTCGATCCAACACTAGGGTTTTTGTTTTCGTCTCATTTCCCAACCTAGGGTTTCAAATTTCTCCAACAACAACAACTCCAACTCCATTACTTGACACACATCTACTCTCAATCAAAGCTCTCTCTTTTCCTTCTTCGATCGAACCATCCATGGCTTCACCATCAATCCAAGCCTCTCGCTCAGCCACGTCCAAAACCGAAAGCTACGTAGACAACAAACGCAAAGCCGACATCCGCCAAGCCAACATCGTGGCGGCTCGAGCTGTCGCCGACGCCGTCCGAACCAGTCTCGGACCCAAAGGCATGGACAAGATGATCTCCACCGCCTCCGGCGAAGTCATCATCACCAACGACGGCGCCACAATCCTCAACAAGATGGAAGTTCTCCAGCCGGCGGCCAAGATGCTCGTCGAACTTTCCAAATCTCAAGACATCGTCGCCGGCGACGGCACCACCACCGTCGTCGTCATCGCCGGAGCTCTCCTCAAGCAATGTCTCTCTCTTCTCACTAGCGGAATTCACCCTACGGTGATCTCCGATTCGCTTCACAAAGTCTCTCTCAAGGCAATCGATGTCCTTACTGCAATGGCTGTCCCAGTTGAGCTCTCCGATCGCGAATCTCTTGTCAAATCTGCGAGTACTTCGCTTAATAGCAAGGTTGTTAGTCAGTACTCTACTCTTCTCGCTCCAATCGCTGTTGATTCGGTTTTATCGGTTGTTGATCCTGAAAAGCCCGATCTTGTTGATCTCAGGGATGTTAAGATTGTGAAGAAGCTTGGAGGGACTGTTGATGATACTGAGCTTATAAAAGGATTGGTTTTTGACAAGAAGGTTAGTCATGCTGCTGGTGGTCCTACTCGTGTTGAAAATGCTAAAATTGCTGTTATTCAATTCCAAATTTCGCCTCCGAAAACTGATATTGAACAATCGATTGTCGTTTCGGATTATACCCAAATGGATAGGATATTGAAAGAGGAGAGGAACTATATTCTTGGTATGATTAAGAAGATTAAGGCTACTGGGTGTAATGTGTTGTTAATTCAGAAGAGTATTTTGAGAGATGCAGTGACCGATTTGTCGCTGCATTATCTTGCTAAAGCCAAGATTTTGGTGATTAAGGATGTTGAGCGCGATGAGATTGAATTCATTACCAAGACTTTGAACTGTTTGCCTATCGCAAACATTGAGCATTTCCGTAGTGAGAAGTTGAGTTTTGCAGATTTGGTTGAGGAGGTTTCTCTTGGAGATGGGAAGATAGTGAAGATTACAGGAATTAAGGATATGGGTAGGACCACAACGGTGCTTGTTCGTGGGTCGAATCAGTTGGTCCTTGATGAGGCGGAAAGGAGCTTGCATGATGCTTTGTGTGTTGTGAGGTGTTTAGTCAACAAGAGGTTTTTGATTGCAGGTGGCGGTGCACCAGAGATAGAGCTTTCTCGGCAGTTGGGTGCGTGGGCTAAGGTGTTGCAGGGGATGGAGAGTTACTGTGTGAAATCATTTGCGGAGGCTCTTGAAGTTATTCCCTATACATTGGCTGAGAATGCTGGTTTGAACCCAATTGTTATTGTCACTGAGCTTAGGAATCGACATGCCCAGGGTGAGATCAATGCTGGAATCAATGTGAGGAAGGGACAAATAACTAACATCTTGGAAGAGAATGTGGTGCAGCCTTTGCTAGTAAGCACAAGTGCAATCACATTGGCTACAGAATGTGTGCGGATGATTTTGAAGATTGATGACATTGTTACAGTGAGGTAGATTTGATTAGAACACGATGGTGTTGGTGAATGAAAAACTGGTTGTCATATTATCTTTTGATGTCTGTGTGCTGCTAATTTGTGTTCTTTTCTCTTTATGGGCCTCTTTAGGTCTAATGAATTTTGAACTCGGTGCTTTTTGTTAGTGCTTGTTTATGGTGTTTCTATTGGAATTTTTAGGTTCGTATGTTTTTGGAGATGATATTTATTGTTTTAATTGGGCACATATTATCCTCTATTTCGCATCAAATTAAGTACCATTGCTAAATGGAAAATGATATACAAGTCCACTTTAGACTCATTTTCTAGATCCAATGATGTGTAAGTGATATGAATTCTGGACCCAATGATGTGTAAGTGATATGAGAGAATATATAATATCTTAATTGATTGTCACATCATTGAACTTAAAAATTGAGTCTAGTTTTTTGTCTTCAATAGTAATGTTCTTGCTAAACACAAAATAATTGTCTTAAACTAGTTGAACTGTTTATTTTTTGTAAATGCCGATGTTGGTTATTTGACATTTTTACCCCATTTTAAGGTATGCATTTTAATATTTAAGGAAGCTAATCACCCACTTGTAGCTTCTAGCATTCTAACTTGGTTTTTCTTTGTAGAAGCTCTTTTATCAAAGAGAGAAAATTTCTGCATTAACACTCTATTTTGATTTAAGTTAAAATAAATCAAACCAAGCCTAAAGTACCATCCAATAGGATCGACTATATAAATCTTTTTTCTCCACACTATTCTAACCACGGCTATTTGGTTAGTCAAATTAAATATTTAATTTAAAATACTTTAGTAAAATATTTTATGGGTTAAATAATCTTTAGCCTCCTATTTTTTGGTGTTTATGTTAACTTGTTTGGGGTGTGCTATATAAGTACATTTTTTATCTTTTTATCTTTTTTGAATCACATTACCTTTCTATTTTTTTGCACATCTTTTCGTAAAAAGTCAAAAAATGCATTTATTTAGATTATTCTAAACAACTGTGAAAGCATTTCATCAAAAAAACTGAGAGGCACATTAAAAGGGATCTGAAAGCAAAACAGAATAGAAAGTGAACATGTCAGCAGTCACAGGCAGCAAGGCTGTCCAGAGGTTAGAGTAAATCTTATTCTAGGAGGTTGGGATCTGTCTAGAACTATAGGTGTTAGAAACCAAATTAGACCAATGTATGTGTACATATATAAAGAAATGTGTGTGTATATTATCAAAAAAAAAAATATATATATATACAGAGAGAGAGAGTGAGAGAGAGGCGATAATGAGAGCCTCTCTGCTCGTCCTGTTCAGTCGTGGTGAATGGCCGGGGACAGGTTTGAACGGTGTTAGTGTAAAATAACTAATGGACTTGAGTTCTTATATTGTTTCTGCCTGCAGGATCTCAAGTAGACAAATCTTTGGACTCATAGGAGCTCTAGATGGTTGAAAATATTCTTGTTTCCTTATCTATTAATTTTACCTATTTATGTCCATGAAAGTTAGATCCTCTTTCCCACTTTGAATGCATATGGTTGTGACGTTTATTTGGATGCAATCAGGCAAACTTCTATGATCAATTAATGTTTACAGCAAGTTTAAATTAGCTGTTAACTTTTCTTCATGTTATATACTTGTAGTGAGCTCCTGTACCCATGCTTGCATCTTCTGTGTATTTGCCTTGCATTACTGTTGGTTTTTTCCATCAATAAGGTCCTTCTATAGGTCATATCTGTTCTTTAATCAGAGATTGCCGAAAGTGAATCCATACCTCCGACCTGAATTGATTTCCACCATCCCTGTAGATGTTGTGCCTGTAGGCTTCTCAATCGTTTTTGCAGTTATTGCCTTGGAATCCTCTTGCGTATGACAGACCATTTTATCGGTGTCATGATATACCCACTTGTATTTTGGAGCAATCAGGCTAGCTCTTATGTTCCATGGATTTCTCAAGTATCATCATAGACGTATCGCTACTGTGCAAACTATTCTGAATGTTGGTACTATCTTCATTACACTCTTCCCTAACTTTAACTTGTCCACCCTTCTGTCAATTTTGAAGTTTCTGCTACAAAGTGGTGGTGCTACCCAAGTCAGTACCAATAATGCTGCCGCCCTACACTAGCAATAAGATGGAAATTGTATGCTATTGTTATTGCGGGCTTAATAAATTCCATGTGTTCTTTCTTGTGATCTTCCATCCTCCTTTGTGGTTTTACTTCCTTAGTGGTTGCATATTTAGGGGTTGTTTGGGATGTTCTAAATAAGTGCACTTTTTAACTTTTTATGAAATATGAGTTGGATTTGAAGTGATGTAATAGAGAGGTAATATAATTTAAATAAAATGATGTGACTTAAATAGAATAGTGACTTTTTGACCTTTTGATTTTTTTAGGTTATGACAAATAAGACCTTAGTATTAGAGCCAGTGTGGCTGGTATGCGCAGTTACAGAGCGTGGTCTGTGTAAAGGTTACGCCTTGGCGGTTTATCCACCTAACCGCTTAAGCCTTTGGGTTGGGTCCGGGCCGTGGTCCTATTTACACCCACAGGACTGTGGCCCATGTAACAATAGATATGTGAACTTCATAGAGATGGGTCAAATGTGGCCTTATCTTGGGAAGGCTTGTCAGAAAGAAAAATAAATAAAATAACATGTCTTCTAGTTAGTTTAGAAGTAGTCAATGGTAGAGTACAATTCATGAAGCCTCACTTTCAATAACTTCAAATTATCTGGCTGATAAGCAACCAACCGATCAAATCAGATCTCTCATAATTCAGACTTCATTGAAATGGGCTTCTCTTCAATTCACTTTCAGGCTAAAAACAAAAAATAATTAAAAAAAAGAAGATTATCTGAGATTTACATGTTGATATGTTGAGATTATCTCACACCTTGTAGGACATAGATAATCTTCTTCAAAGATGATCCCATTTTTCTTCAAACCTTGAGCTGTCTTGATCTGTTAGCAGAAGGGTATGTCAGGGAATGTCGCATTCAAGAGTATCTTTGCTGTCAGAATCAAGAAGTGGCTTCCTTAATAGTCTCGTCTTATCTTGGGTTGTCACCTTTCCTCTCTGTTTTTGGCCCCATAGAACCAAGTAAAGTCCAAATACAATGAGAATTGCCCCAATAATCCTGCAAAGATAGCATACAACAATAATTTAGGCATGGCAATTGAAACTTGATGCAGGCTAATTAGTTTCAAAGTATTTGGAACATTTGGATCAATTTCATCGGTAAACTACCAATTTCATCTATTTAGTTATGATTTCAGCTCATATGACACGATCGTTTAAAGCCTAAATTGATGGCAAAAAAGTCACATTAAAATTTGACGTACCCTCCCAAGTATAACTGGTCGCCGAGAATTGCAAATGCCATGATAGCAACTAAAACTGTCTGCACTGGCTGGAATATGGCAACAAAGACAGGACCTCCTTTGTATATGCACCAAGTTTGAAGAGAAATCACAATTCCAGAGGACACAATGCCCTTTAATTAACAACCACAAGATGATTAGATTCATATCATAAATTTAACTATTCCCATTAAATTTATGTGTAAAATTAGTAGAAATTAAGAAGGGCATTGATAAGTGATTAGACATACAGCATACAAGATAGTGAAAATTTCTTCAGCAGATTGGATTTTCCAGCGGTCAGGATCAGTTTCTACAAAAGCTGCTATGATCAAGAACTGTATCAATCCGAAAAATATTGTAAATGAGGTCATTGACAGTTTTGCTGGGTACTTCTTCACCACAGGTCCCTGCAAATATTCAAAAATATAAATATTTACAGTATTGTTAAAATATATAAATAAATAAATTATACAGAATGATGTGACTTTTATGTAGTAAACCCATCATTATTTTTAAAAATAACACTTTTTCTGTATAAAATTTCTAGTTTAGTAACTTGTTCCATCCATGTATGTAGGGTAATAAATAATAATACTATGTGCTATAAAAAAAAAAAGAAAGTGTATATTGAAAAGTACTTTGAAAATTAATTATATGGAACCGATTTATTTTGAGTGTAAGTTTAAAAATAAATAGTACACACCATTTTTTTGGGAGCAATTTATAGGGTGTATATTTAAGATGCATAGCTTTTCTGATGTATGCATGGATCAATAATACTACACACTGAGAAAAAAATTCAAATATTTGTAAAATATAATTTGTGGATCAAATCTATTCCGTAACCAATATTACACTAAGTTTGAGTTTATACCGTATATTTTTTTATAGAGATACCTATTTTTAGATGCTTAAGGATGGCTTAGCCTAACAATAAGGTTTGTCATTAGTGTCTCTAGTGATACGGTATTGAGTTATGGAAACAATCTCTCCAAAAATTAAGAAAACATTACGTATATTTTGCCCTCTTTAAACCCGGCTTTAAAATGAGTTTCATGCATTTAATTACCTATTTACTTTCTCTAAATGCTCAACTTTTTCCAATGTATGGATATGCATGTATGTGATGAGTAGCAAACAGGGTCATCACTATGTAATACTAATACACTTTCAATAACAGTTGTGCTATATGACTTTTTAACTTTTTATGAAATATGAGTTGGGTTTGAAGTGATGTAGTAGAGAGGTAATGTAATTTAAATAAAATGATGTGACTTAAATAGAATAGTGACTTTTTGACTTTTTTTAAGTTATGACAAACAAGACCTTAGTATTAGAGCCAGTGTGGCTGGTATGCGCAGTTACAGAGCGTGGCCTGTGTAAAGGTTACGCCTTGGTAGTTTATCCACCTAACCGCTTAAGCCTTTGGGTTGGGTCCAGGCCGTGGTCCTATTTATGCCCACAAGACTATGGCCCATGTAACAATAGATTGTGAACTTCATAGAGATGGGTCAAATGTGGCCTTATCTTGGGAAGGCTTGTCAGAAGAAAAATAAATAAAATAACATGTCTTCTAGTTAGTTTAGAAGTAGTCAATGGTAGAGTACAATTCATGAAGCCTCACTTTCAATAACTTCAAATTATCTGGCTGATAAGCAACCAACCGATCAAATCAGATCTCTCATAATTCAGACTTCATTGAAATGGGCTTCTCTTCAATTCACTTTCAGGCTAAAAACAAAAAATAATTAAAAAAAAGAAGATTATCTGAGATTTACATGTTGATATGTTGAGATTATCTCACACCTTGTAGGACATAGATAATCTTCTTCAAAGATGATCCCATTTTTCTTCAAACCTTGAGCTGTCTTGATCTGTTAGCAGAAGGGTATGTCAGGGAATGTCGCATTCAAGAGTATCTTTGCTGTCAGAATCAAGAAGAGGCTTCCCTTATATTAACTTGCTCCAGCCTGAGTGGTTGAGAGATGAACAATAACAATCAGATGAACTCACACACACACACACACACACACACACACACACCTACCTATACATACGTAAGGCAAATTACGCCAGTTGTGGGTTTTGTTTGTCCATTGTTTAAATCTGGTTCTTGTTGTTTCAGTTGTATCAATTTTGATATTTAATTTTTCATATTATATCTACAGGGGGCAATTTTATATGACTATGTTGCTCGGCTAAGCAAGGGTGAGAGTGGCTGAGCAAGATGTGTAGTCAAATGTCCAGTCAAATATGAAATTTAGATGGACAAGTCCGAACAGAGGGTGGACCAAATCAAGGGAAAGATTGGATGAGATTGATCAATTCCTTGGGAATCGTTGGACCAGGGGGCACAACCTCACCTAGGATGGAACATCGTGTGTAAGTGGTTGCACAAAACTCTAATGATAATGTAATTAGGTATAAATAATAATCCAACGTCTAAGGCTCAGGTATGCAATCATTAATACTTAGGACATCCCCAATGAGATAGCTAAAATTATTTGTTATAGTATATTATATGATAAAAAGTGATTAAAAAGGACAGAACCCTATGTTGGGAGAAACAATGTATGCAAATGGTTGCATAAAGCTCTCAATAGTAATGCAAATAGGTATATATAGGAATCCAACTTCTCATACTTAGGTTAGGGCACACAATCATTAGCACTTATACTCATTGTTATATTGAGAGCATAACTTACTCCTATTGACTTAAATATTAGACTGCTCCCCTTGACTGATCATACTAGTTTGCAAGTGCTCATTGTATTTGTGATTACAGGTTGATTGAAAGACACTGGAATCATACTTATCTTTATCAAACTATTGTAGTTAGATTTTTTCCCAAACAGTACCAATTTGGTCCAATTTAAAACCCCATTAAGAAATTGAACGAAAATCAAAGATAAAATGAGGTTCATTCACTAATTTTCTCTCTTTCATATATTCCCCATACCACCACCTCCTTCCACCACTATCAATTTTGCCCTTAATTTTCATTCAATTTCTTAACAAGTATTATCAATTAGACCAAATTAAATAAATTATACAGAATGATGTGACTTTTATGTAGTAAACCCATCATTATTTTTAAAAATAACACTTTTCTGTATAAAATTTCTAGTTTAGTAACTTGTTCCATCCATGTATGTAGGGTAATAAATAATAATACTATGTGCTATAAAAAAAAAAAAAAAGTGTATATTGAAAAGTACTTTGAAAATTAATTATATGGAACCGATTTATTTTGAGTGCAAGTTTAAAAATAAATAATACACACCATTTTTTTGGGAGCAATTTATAGGGTGTATACTTAAGATGCATAGCTTTTCTGACGTATGCACGGATCAATAATACTACACACTGAGAAAAAAATTCAAATATTTGTAAAATATAATTTGTGGATCAAATCTATTCCGTAACCTATATTACACTAAGTTTGAGTTTATACCATATATTTTTTTGTAGAGATACTATTTTTAGATGCTTAAGGATGGCTTAGCCTAACAATAAGGTTTGTCATTAGTGTCTCTAGTGATACGGTTTTGAGTTATGGAATCAATCGCTCCAAAAATTAAGAAAACATTACGTATATTTTGCCCTCTTTAAACCCGGCTTTAAAATGAGTTTCATGCATTTAATTACCTATTTACTTTCTCTAAATGCTCAACCTTTTCCAATGTATGGATATGCAGTATGTGATGAGTGGCAAACAGGGTCATCACTGTGTAATACTAGTACACTTTCAATAACAGTTGTGCTATATGTATAAAAAAAACTAGATATAGAATATATAAATGGGAGATAAAAAATGTTTACATTTGTAATTACGAACATATTTGCATCTATAATTGTGAACATTTATCTCACATCTGTATATTCTGTATTTGATTCATTCTGTGCACATATAAATTTTGTTTCAATAATGGTTGGTGAATAAACACACTAAGAGTAAGTAGTAACCTGAAAGACCATCCAAGCAGCCCATGATAAGCAGTGGCCAATCAAGTATATACAGCCCCATGTCCAGTTTTGACTTTCCATTGAAGACAAATTCATATCTCCTACTCCTCTCTCTCCTCCTGGTATGGAATTTCCCAGTAGTTGGTGTAGAAGAGGAGGGCCTTTGTACAGAGTAATAAGAGTGGCACCTCCCACACTTGCAACTGTCCCTATTATTTTTGCCAACCCCTCTCTGCTTCTTATATTAACTTGCTCCAGCCTGAGTGGTTGAGAGATGAACAATAACAATCAGATGAACTCACACACACACACACACACACACACACACACATATACATACATGAGGCAAATTACGCCAGTTGTGGATTTAGTTTGTCCATTGTTTAAATCTGGTTCTAGTTGTTTCAGTTGTATCAATTTTGATATTTAATTTTTCATATTATATCTACAGGGGGCAATTTTATATGACTATGTTGCTCGGCTAAGCAAGGGTGAGAGTGGCTGAGCAAGATGTGTAGTCAAATGTCCAGTCAAATATGAAATTTAGATGGACAAGTCCGAACAGAGGGTGGACCAAATCAAGGGAAAGATTGGATGAGATTGATCAATTCCTTGGGAATCGTTGGACCAGGGGGCACAACCTCACCTAGGATGGAACATCGTGTGTAAGTGGTTGCACAAAACTCTCAATGATAATATAATTAGGTATAAATAATAATCCAACGTCCAAGACTCAGGTGTGCAATCATTATCCCCAATGAGATAGCTAAAATTATTTGTTAAAGTGTATTATATGATAAAAAGGGATAGAGCCCTACGTTCGGAGAAACAATGTATGCAAATTGTTGCATAAAGCTCTTAATAGTAATGCAAATAGGTATAAATAGGAATCCAACTTCTCATAGGTAGGTTAGGGCACACAATCATTAGCACTTATACCCATTGTTATATTGAGAGCATAACTTACACCTATTGACTTAAATATTAGAGTGCTTCCCTTGACTGACCATACTAGTTGGCAAGTGCTCATTGTGTTTGTGATTACAGGTTGATTAAAAGAAACTAGAGTCATACTTATCTTTATCAAACTATTGTTGTTAGATTTTTTCCCAAACAGCACCAATTTGGTCCAATTTATAACCCCATTAAGAAATTGAACGAAAATCAAAGATAAAATGAGGTTCATTCACTAATTTTCTCTGTGTCATATATTCCCCATACCACCACCTCCTTCCACCACTATCAATTTTGCCTTTAATTTTCATTCAATTTCTTAACAAGTATTCTCAATTAGACCAAATTAGCATAATATGACAAATTAAAAGACAAAATTGATACACTTGAAACTAATTTTTCCATATATATATATACTATTTATACCTTATAGCAGAAGCCATTACAAAAGTGATTGCAGGAACTGAGTTTTGCATTGCAGATGCAAAGGTTGGGTTTGCATAATACAACCCCAAGATGTAAAATCCTTGATTTGCAGTAATTCTGGGGTCCACAAAAGAACATTAAAAAAAATAGTAAATAAAAATTGACCAAAAAAAAAAAAAGAAAACTTAGTACTACATTTGGAAGCTCATTTGTTGCTTACCCAACTAATGCTAGGAGGAAAAATTGGACCAGCAAAGAAAATGTAAGAGGTGGTCTTTCTTTCCTGAAAAATCAAGAAGAACATAATTATTATGGGGTGTTTAACCCAAATGAGAAGAAAAATAAGCTCTAATTACCCAACAAGTAGCACTTGTCATGGATTGTCTAACCCCAAATCTCTTTATACCCAAAAAAAAGGAAAGAAGAGAGGATAAATTATGCTCGCAGTCTTTATAGTTTATCTCTTGTGTTAATTTAGTCCTTATAGTTCTAATTATATCAAATTTGTCTTTTAATTTTTCACATTATGTCAAGTTAGTCCAATTGATAACAACCGTTAAGAAATTAGATATAAATTGATGGTGACATAGTCAATTCAAACGGGAATGGACCAATTTCGAATTGGATGCCATTTTCTTAATCATTTTTTACAAGAGTGAATAGTCTATTTTTTTTCTTTGATTTCAGTATAACTTTTAAAGGTGTGCTATCAATTGAACTAAATTGTCACAATATTCAAAAAGTTTTGAGTAAAATTGATACAATTAGAACAGCTAATTGACACACAAGAAGCAAATTACAGGGATTACAAGTGTAATTTGTCCAGAAAATTATTTGTCTTTCTATCTCAATGCACTTCTACCTGTACACTATGGTAAGAATTTCGAGACACAGTCCTATTGTTGAAAATGAATTGAGACAGAAATTTGGGAACAAGATTATATACACAACAAAAGGACGAACTTCTCAAAAAAAATAAGCGAAGGGGCTTCTTCTGTCTCAATGTACAATGAAAATCACCAGACAAAATCGTACTGTTGAAAATGCATTGAGACAGAGAAATTTGGGAATAAAAGATCCCATACAAATAAGAAAAACGACTTACTTCTCTAAGAAATAAGCAAAGGGGGACAAGAGAAGCAAAGCAATGATGTTCCTGTAAACTGGGTAAACAACTTTGCTAACACCAATGTTGAGTGCAAGCCTTGACACAATGTGAAACCCTGCAAAGCACAACTGCAAAACCAGTAGTGCCACAAGCAACTTCATCTTCTCAACTCTCTTTTTTCCCATACTTTTCTTCTCTATGGAGTCCTTTGGTTTGATCTACAATTAATAGATATGGAGGAACTTATATGTGTGTGTGTGTGTGTGTGTGTGTGTGTAGTGACATTATTTAAAAGCTTGTATTATTTGATGCATATGCAATGTAATCATAGAGTTATTATGAATGAGACATATTTATTACCACAATATGTCTTATAATACATGCATATGTGTTGAGTAGACTTATAATGTATATGGTCTTGTTAGTGACTAACAAACCACATGTTTTTATGATAAAGCGTATATAATTATTTTGAGTATTTTAACAAGTGTTGTTAAGATACTTATTAACAAAACTAACTTAGTGCACCAAACTCCCACTAAGATCGTCATTTTTGAAGAGGTTAGTTAGTAAATTTGTTAAAGAGATAAATTTTAAAGTTGTTCATCTCTTTAACAGTAAGTTTTTAAATATGTGGTTGGTTGACAATCTAACATGGTATTAAAGCAAACAGTAGGTCCACTATTTGAATCTCACCTCCTACAAAAAAAATAAAAAATAAAATATTGTACACGTGTTTGGAAAGAGTCCAGTCACACATAAGTGAGCATGTTGAAGAGAATAAATTTGGAAAAATACTGTAATGACTATCTACTTTAACCATCTTATCTTATCATTTGATATGTCAATCTAATTGACAATATCTATATATATATAATTAATATGATATAGAGAAATATGATGATTGTAATTTATTGATAAATTTGTTCTTTGCAGGTAATCTGTACACTGTAGTGATTGCTTTATCTAAATCTCCAATATGTTAGTTGACAAAAAATTGAGAACTGAATTTTTGTTGGGAGAGACAAGGTTGAAGTTGAGCATGTTGGCCAGGCAGTTAAAGAAAAGGCCAACCTATTTCTTTTCATTGATCATTACCCAAATTTTATTTGTTCTTTATTGGACCATTGCCAATGGTAATACTATTAAACTTATTTTTAAATATTTTTTTTGGAGATCAATAATAATTGTGATTTAATCTTTGTCTGAAAGGATAATATTTGAGAACTTGCCTTCCTTTTTATTTTTATTTTTTTATACTTTATTTATTTGTGTTTTGGGCTTGCTAATATGCCAAAAGTTAACCAACGGGCTAATTCGATTGATTAGAACTTTTACATCTCATTAGAAGGTCATTGATTCGAAACTCTCCATCTACGTATGTGTATTCTTCTCCGTCTATTCTTTACGTATTGACTTCCTCAACTATGAAAATCGTATAAATACATCCTTTTTAAAGGATTATTTGTAAATAGTAATAGTTGAGGGGTCTTAGTATAAATAATTCGGGAAAAAGGAACAAACTTAAGTTAAGTTTGTGATCATTATACTTTAGTATAATTGTGCTTGAAATAGTTATTATGATCGGAATGTGAAAGGAGGGGGAAGTGAAGAAAGAATCAAAGTTTGCATGTGGTTCTTCTTATTATCTTTGCTATTTTATTACTTAGAAATAAGTTAACCTAACGAAGAAGCACATGCAGTCAACATGCAAATTCACAAATAATAAAATGGGATAAAAAAAAAAAAAAAAAAAAACTCTAATTCTTTGTTTGAAATGTGCGAAAGTTTTGAAACTCAAGGGTTAAATTAATAATTAAAAGTTTTACTTCTCATTATCTTTAAGGCATTTTAGAATTTAAGCTCAATAATTACTTGATATATATAGAAAAAGAGAATTAGATGTATATTAGTCGAAACGAAAACGATGCTTTAACACTCAATAGGCCAAACTGTGCAAGGCGAAATAGAAGTGAAATTTTATTTGCACACCACATAAAATTTTAGCATGTATAATTTATATCCAAATGATATTATTTTGATATAAATTTTTGAATAAAAATTAATTGTTCAGATATCAACTATTGAACAAAATGTATATATCTGAATAATTCATTTTTATTTAGAAGTTTATGTTAGACATTTAATTTTTGTTCTAAAATTTATATCCAAAAGACACAAATTGTGTATACTGAAATTTTTTGTAGTATGCAAATATAATTGGGGAAATCTTAATTTAGTGTATCTTTACAAAAATAATTACATATTAGTGAGAAACTTTATAAATATTAATAATTAAATTTATAAATTTTTTCATCAACTTGTAATAATTTTGTGGAAAAACCACTAACTTGTAATTTTCCCAATATAATTTATCAAAAATAGAACTAGACGTCTCTCTCTTCTCTCTAACCTTGTCATGGGTTTGGGAGACAAATCTTGACCTTAGAGAGAGAGAGACGTGCATGGACAGTGATTTGTAATTGCCAGCCTTGTTTGGGGACTTAAAATTTTAGTTAAAAAGTCATTATAAATTGTCATATTACTCTCTTTATTTTTTTGCGTATCTTTTTATTAAAAAATCAAAAAATTACTTAAAATAGTCAATTCTCAAATGAGGTTGCATGAACCTTCTTCTTTCTCCATGGAAACATCAACTTGGTGCATGAAGCTGCACTTTGGTTAAGAATATTCCCTGTTAAGCACCATTAATAGAGAAAAAAAAAGAAAAAAAAAACACCTAAAATTGGAGAATACAAATGATTTGTACAAACATGGGGCTGTCCCCATAACTCATGATTTGCTTGATAAAACCATTGCATATGGTGGTCTGAAGCAACTTCAGTACTCATTTAAAATCTTTTTCTTATTGTTATATGGAAAAGATTCTCAATAAGATGAGCAATTATTGGCTATTCTGTTTCTACATAACTGTTATGTTATGATTGATTTATATTAGTACTTTGCCTAACAATATGAAATCGATAAATAGTGATTACTAAGGTATATTGCATGATCCCCTCCTTGTATCCAATAATTTTCCCCATAAGAGATTTTGAAGACACAATAATAAGCTAGTTCAGATAATTCAATCATCAATTGGACCTATAGTCATCGAAGAAGAAGAAACAAACAAAAAACTTTGACAAGGGGAAGCTAATTTCCGATACATGTATCCTACACTTGCAACAACTTTGGAAAAAACTGAAGGAAAACTTATAAGAAACTCTACATCAACTACTTTAAAAATTAGCGAAATTTTTAAAACATTTTTGAGAGATTTGTAGTAAATATGAAAAAGAATTCCTTATGAACAAGTTCAACAATTTCCTAAGAGAGTGGTTTGAGAAATTTCAATAAGCAGTATAAGAAGGTCATAAAAACTAATTGCCATTTTTGAATTTTTTTTTCTAAGCTTGATTATGCGTTCTAAACTATTTGTATTTCATCAATTTCATTTGTAATCAATTACATGTAGTAACATTTTATAATCATCCCTCCTAATATATGACATCAAATTCGACATCGATGCCATCATTTTTTCCCCCAACTGTTAACATAGGTTTCTTTGCAACAAGACCAGTTCCCGGACTTTCATGTTGGTATATCATCTAGATTTATGGTTTTTTGTGCTTTTAAATCTTATCATGTCTTGAGCTACTTCTAATGGCAGTCTAAACATTAATGAATGTACAAGTATCTACACAAAGTAAACCACAATCTCCTGATCACATTTTCACATACAAAATGTTTTTACATCCAGCATTTTGAAAATACTGCAAAAATCATACAATTGTTTGACACAGCACTACAATCGGTATCATAGTTGAGATTTGTGTTTATACGCTACCATGACATTGCACATATCAAAACCGAGTAACACAGCAAAAACATTTCCAACAAGTGTAAACAATCCAAGAGGAATGTTGGACATTCAAAGAAAAAAAGAAACAGAGAGCCCATTTTACACGCAAGAAATGGAAAAGTTATTTCTTCCAGAATAGAATTTGAGCAACCTTTAAACTACTTGTGCTTGAAGGCGATAACAATTGCAGTACAGTTATCTTTGCACCGGCGCTCACGGATAGCTTCCCTAACAAGGCGGCGGCTCACAGCTGCAACAGGTAAGCCCTCCTGCCAAACAATTGTGAAGTTTCAGCAAGCTGTGCTTAAAAAACCTTCCAAGTCATTTTTTTAGCATAGACAACTTCAAAGAGTCAAACCCTACAAAAACAAACTATACATAGGATGAAAAACACACACCCACAAAACAATATTTGGGAAGATTTTGCCTTTTCTGTCCCATATTTATCACCAAGCTCCATTTGATAAAATCCTCGGATACCACAATCAGGCCATGTTTTAAAGATTATTTATCAATTATCGCCATATTGATGGACAATTAGATGCATTCTGGGAAGTTTTACTAATGATATGGCTGTAATTTACAATAAAAAGCCCTTTGAAAGCAGAATTTAGTGGACAATGATGGCCCTGTTTGGTGCAGCTTATGAGGCTGCTTATGGTGTTTTTTTTTTTTTTGGGGGGGTGTGGGTGGGGTACTCTGTTTAGAGTGTTTTGATAAAGTTCTTGCATACTACTCAAACATAGCTTCAACAAGCTGAAAAACATATGATTATTCAGAAGTATGTGGGAGGGATACTTTTAACTTCTACTTTCTAATTATCAGTTTTCAGCACAAAGAAGCTGCAACAAACAGGGCCTGATATCACTCACTGTATTAAAGCATTTGGTCAGAATGAAAGGAAACAAGTGTACTACTCAGATAATAAACAGGTTGGTAATTGAATCAGTCCATTTGATTTACATTGCATTTTAACTAACAAAAAAAAGTAGAGTGATATTCTAAGCATAAGAAAAAATTTAGTCATCAAGTGCCCTTATTCTAGAATACCGTTGGGGCAACAATTATGTCCATATTCACTTAAATGCAATTAGGAGGAGAATGGACAAATTCACTGTTATGTAACCAGGAAGAGAATATACATATTCAACTACAATTAAAAGAATAAACGCCACATCAATCCTAATGAAACAGGCAAAAGTTGGGAAGTTAAAGATGCATTCTGACCTTTAGCAGCTTGTGAACGAATTGAACAGCATCACTTGGTCCAAAAACCTGACAGTTGTTAACAACATCAACTTTATAATAGAACTTGGAAAGTGTGTTGACAAAATAGTTTTAAAATGAAGGCAAAAGAGATAGTGGACAGATGATATACCCCCCACAGGCCATCACAGCCAAGAATGATGAAGTGGTCTCGCTCTGTAAGGTCAAAAGAATGAATATCTGGGGTTGCAACAACACCCACCTGCATTTCACATTTTTTGATATATACTTTTTTTTAATCAGAATTCTTTGAGATATACTGATGCATCATAAATTGTAATGGATTCAAAGCTCAAGAACAAATCTGATGTTTTAGACTAAAAATCACTCTGGATGCGTACAAGAAAAAGATATGAAATTTTACATGGCAAATCCATATCCAGTATATAATAAGAACGAATACAAGTAATTACATGCCTGCCATCATTATCAATGGATTTTAGCAACAAATTAGAAACAAAGTATATGAGAAAAGAAAACCCAAATACACATTATGCATCGAGTAAAAGTAGCCGATTTGTGGCAAGGAATAAAACATTCTCCCATCTATTATCATTATTACTGTTGTTTTTTCTTTGGAGACAAGGCTATTCAGAAATTCTTTGGAGCAAAAGTCTTGAAAAGAAAAATGAAACTACCCACATGAGAAAACTAACAAACCTTTTTGAATTGTCTATCCCCAAAGGCCCTGGAAACTTCAAGGCGTCCCTGCAGTCGTCCATTTGAACTCACAGAACCACCAGCCTAAAACATCAAGGGTGCTTATTAACAAAAATGTATGATAAGGTTCAAGGTAAGTAAATTCATTATTAATAAATACACAACCAGGGAACAAATGACTGCTGCAATAACTCTTTGTAAGACCCACATATTTGTATTACCATATAAATTTTTGGACCAAAGTATCACCCTTTTATCCACTCAAATATAAGCTTGACAATATTCGACTTCAACCTACTAAAGTTTTTCTTCTAAATTAGGAGTGAAAATATCACTGAAATTTGGCATAAATAAAAGCAAAGGTGGACACCAAAAGTATATTTTTCTTTCTTTCACAAAATTAAGAAGAAAAAGGATGCATGAACTCTCATTAGTTACAGACAAAGGCTGTTCAGTGATAGATGAGGTCCACATCACGTGGTAAAAGGTAGCATGAGGTCCACATCATATCTTAGTTTGTACTTCTAACATTTAGTTAGTTCAGATGACACTCAATATTAACTTTCAGAAAGAAATGTCATGCATCCCAAGTGGTCAAGAATATTGTTACCGATGATTCTGCAATCAATTCAACATATGCACTGAATAAGAGGAGAGAAAAGGGTAAATAGAAGATATAAAGCTTTAGAACATTCCCCCATTACCTTCTGAATTCGTACACGTTCTTGTGGATAGATGGCTTTGTGTTCCCTCGTCAAAACAATTGCCTTTAACAAACTTGCTCCATCTGAAGTATTCTGCAAACCATCTGCAGTAGATGACCGTGCTACCACTGCTTTTGCATCTCCAATATTAGCAACAAACACCTAGAAAACATGCAGCAGAAGACTGGTTAAAAGTTCCCCATATATCCACAAGAAAATATAAAGAAAAGCATAACCAAAAAGTAAACAAACCATGACTTGTAAAAGCACTAAAATATGTTTTGCACATTTATTTTTTTCCCATGTGGGCATAACCTCAGTGCTTATTCATTTGCCAAGAAACAATTATGTTTACTAGGAGGTAATATCCAAAAAGGTTGAGAGGTGTTCTAAACCAATGAACATCTAAAGGACCCACTTAGACCATCACCTTAACATCTGCCCTTCGAATTATTTTCATTTTCCAAATTACACTATTGTGAAACAACTTTTTCTCTAGGTTGGTAGAAACAGTAAATCAACATGTGAGAATAACAGAACACTTACAGTTTGGCCTAATACCCAAACACATACAGCTGTAGCACCATCTTGCCACCCTCCTGATGAGAAAAATACAACCAATAGGATTTATCAAGCCAAGGGAAAAGAAAATCTGTTCATTTCAAGCCAATAGGATTTATCCTGTCACCCTCCTGATGAGAAAAATACAGTTTGAGAAAATCTGTAATATTTCTAAGTCTAGGATTTATCAAGCCAAGGGAAAAAGAAAAAGAACATAAACTGTTCAAGAACAAAGATATGTCTCGATAACTTCATGTGAGAGTTTTCGTGTTCAAAATGAGGAAGAATTAAGCGATTCATTTCACCTCTCACATAGTGAAGTGCAAGCCTCATAGGCATTGAGGCTTTAAACTTTGCAGGACTAAATATTTTTTTTTAAGAGAAATATATATGTACATTATTAGTATTGACAGAGAGAGAGAGAGAGAATTCTAAGTGTTTGAAGAATTTGGGAGAGAATTCTAAGTGTATGAAGAATTTGGGACTTATAATATATATTTTTTTAAATTCAAGGGAGGTTAAACAGAGAGACTATTTCTTTAACCTATAAGGCTGTAATAGCAAAATCAAGTAGCAACCTTCGTCCTGTTATTCCCTACTCAACCAAACAAGGCAAAGAAAAGATAATTTCATTTTCCCAGAGAAAATTCCAGCATCCCTCCTACACTTTCTTGTGTCAAATGGATCATAAATGAGGTCTAAAAGAGCAACTTCACCAACTATATAAGACTTGACATCATCAAAGTTTTCAATGTATAAGACAAGAAATTCATAACCACTTTTCACTCCAAACCATAGGCTGTGAAAGTTCAACCATGTAAACCATTACCCAATAGTATATCAGGGATGATTATTAAGTCCATGGATTAAATTAAACATTCAAAGCACCAAATAAAACCCTTAAACAATTTAAATTACTACTGTGCATCTGTATATAAAACTAGGAGCGAGTTGCAGTGGCTTACAAGTAGGAGTTGGTGCTTAACAATATAATCTCTTTTGAACAACTTTTATAATACTAAACATGAAGTTCTCTAATCAAGCAATAAAAACGAAGACTAACATCAACTTGATGGATCAAATATTCACAAGAACTGCAAATGTATATAGGTAATACAATTCAAGGGAATGCTTATTACGCAAAAAACAGACCTAACAATACCTGTAGCACTTTCTTGAAGAAGGGACTCATCAGTTCTTCGAAAACCTGAGTTTGAATAGGAAATAAAAAATAAATAAAACCTCTATCACCAAGAAAACAATTTTGGCCAAAATATGAAAAAAGATATTACCTACTAATAAATGACAAATACAAATAATTTGAAGAAAGTACAGAAACTAGCATACCATCAAGTATGGCCTTCTTGGCAGTTTTTACGTCCAACTGTGATTGTCATAGACCATGATAAGTAAAACAAGAATTAGAGTATAACCATAATCCATTAAAGCATATGATGACAATTCAAAGTAACATCAGGCCATGGAAACAAATTATGAAACAAGTACAATGCTACATATATGGAAGGATACAATCACATAAAAAGGGAAGTCGAAGATTAATTCCAATCAACAAGAAAAAAGCAAGTGATAAAAGAACTAAAGAAAATAGAGAAACAGACAAACTAATTAAAATAAAGAATATATAAGATGTTAGCTCAGAAAATTCATGAACCACGTTTGTTTTCAATTAACAATAAGATCCATATCTAAGGTTTTAACTTAACTATGCAGACCCTACAGGAAAAAGTAAGAATTCAAAATATGTACTAGCAAGAAAACAGCGTGGAAAACACGCATCAAATGAGACCAAGCAAACACACCAACTCACGTGGTAAGCCTGCCGAAAGAACATTTGTATGTAAATGCTTCTGCGCATACTCTGCAGCTAGCCGGCCTCCATGCCCATCATAAATTGCATAATGTGCACATCTGTCAAGAAAAAACAATTGAACAGCTCCATTATATTTTGTATAGTATTCAAACTCTAATGAATCATCAGGAATGGTACTATCACAGAAAACAACAATCATTTCACTTGTAAGGTTCATGTCAATTCACAGAACTTAAATCAATCCAATGCTGTCAGTTATGGTTATCAAACTCCAATTTGTCCAATGGCACCATTTGAAGATTCATCCCCATGTTAAAAAAAAAATTTCTATTCCCACCAAAACATATACTTACATATACTAATCCCACTATCTCATCTAACGATCTGTTTGTTTGAGCGGAAAATATTTTTTAGAAAATGTTTTCTGTCAACATAAGTCAATGGAAACCACACCACCACCATCACTGCCGGCGCCGCCACCACCACCCCACCACCTCCACCTCCACCTCCAGCTCCAACTCCAATGAAAACATTTTCTAGGAAAAGTTTTCTGTAGAAAATATTTTTCACCCTAACAAACAGAGCATAAAGAAGCCAACTACCCCTATCCAGGATATTATATATAAATGACTACCAGAGAGTCCAGTTCCATTAGCAGAAAAATTTGCCTCCCAAAAAGCCAATGTCCAAATATTATGTAAAATCAACGAAGTCATTAAAATTTCAAAGATGTAAATAACTAACAATAATATTGAATAATATTTCAAATAACTAACAAACAAAATTAAAATTTTGTGATCTAAATACTTAAAAGGCCATTTTAGCAAACCCCACCTCCCAAACTCCCCAATTTTTCTCCAAACTTCAAACACAAGTATTGCACACCATATGGCTAGTTCTCTTGATAATCACAGAAACATCATACTATAGTCCAATCAAAACCATTACTATCAATCTACAAAGCACTGTTCTAAAGCAAAAATCAGTGAAAGAAACAAAGAACCCAATTCAACCTCAATTTTCCAGGAAAATCCAAGCTGGCGTCAGGAAGCACAACCCAAGCATCCTCCATGGTATGCCTTGAACCCTTATCTTCGGCCACCTCTGCTTCAATTTCAAAACCCACTTCTTGATTTTGCTCTTTATCTTCTGAGGAACCATTTTCATTGCTGTTCTTTTCATTCGAAGCTTCTGGTCTGAGCTCTTCTTGGTTATCATCAAATGCATCGATTCTCGGCTTCTTCGATACCAATCCATAGTCACCGAACTCATTGTTGGACTCAACGTTCGGTTTCTTGTTCTTTGCAGATGAATTGGACTCGTCTGTCATTGTTCTGATGAGAGAGACTAGTGTCTGCAGCTGTTAGACCACGAATTGTTGTTGTCGCTATGGCCAATAGACGAGTAATGGACTCTGTTTGGTGGGTTAGGAAATGGCCGAAACAATTTTCTCAGTAACCAAACGGGGCAGGTAAAATTAGATAAAGTAGGTAGTTTGATTGGGGGATAGGGAGATAAAACCCTAATGCGGATGGGACTGAAAGGGAATAGGCAGACGATAATTTCTGATAATTAAGAGGTTTTTTTTTTATATAAAAAAAAATTTAGATGGATTACATGTCGTCTGCTATTCGATTGAATGATATATTTGAATTGACATGTCATGATTTTTTGTATAGGTACAAAATATTTGTGGTACGTGTATATTTTGCGATTAAGCTTGTATCTTTTCGAGCCGCATCGTATAGCCTACAAAACAATTCAAGTGAGCTAACTGACAGATGTGTGTCAGAAAATTCCTTAAGTTAATTCTTAAGATCAATATAGGAAAAACTCTCTAGAAATTCAATAAGTAACGTTGCATTATCCTTTTAGGGTTTATCTTTGAGTTTTTATATATTTCGCAAGGTAGAATCTTAGTAAGATTCTAATTCCTTTTCGTAGAGTCCTATCAAGAGTTCAAATCTTAAAAAGATAATGTATATCCTTTAACATCCTTATCTCTAAAGTTCAAGAAAAATAACACAGCTGTTAACTCGACAATCAAGCTAAGAACACCATTTTGGTTAGTCAAGGATTGATTAACCGTATTGAATAAACCTTATTAGCCTTTAAGACTATTGAATAACATGCTACACCATGCTAACCTTAGACGCAAGACTCAGCTCGATTGTTCGGCTCAATCATGTGGCCAACTCCACATCGTCATAATTTGCCAACCGTTGTCCGATCTTCCAAAGATAGCATGGTCCCAAAGCCATTTCAGTTTAGAAAATCAATTTAGCTTGGCCCAAATTCAAGATCCATGAAAACGTAGCTCGGTCAGTTGCATGATGCAAACACAAGGCCCATGTAAATTTAGCTCGACTAATTTGCACGCAAACTTAACCTGGCTTATTTGTACAGCCCAAAGTCAAGATCCACACAAACTTAGCTCGGCCCATTTGCACGGCGCAAATTATCCTCTTAATTTTGAAATCAATTAGGAAGATAGGCAACGCAATATTGGTACTATTTAATATAGTTTTATTTTATTTTAATTAAATTATTTCTACCTAAATTTCACTAAACAATCTCGTTGTGTCAAATTAATATTGGATTTTTTTTGGAAATAATTGGTGACTAAAGGGGTGTTTGATAATATAATTCAACACTTAAAATTGAATTGATTAAATGATAATTGCTGGGATTGGCACTGTTGGATTGCCCTGGTTTTCTTGAACATTGGCAGTATTAGCAGTGGCACTAGGCATAGGGATAGCTGCGGTGGGTACATGTGATGCAGAGGCCGTTGTTGGCTGCGGTTGCTGTTACTATAGCCTGGTTATAACCTCGGCTTGACGGATTGCGTCATGCTGTAGTGTCTCAACTGTCTATTACAAATGATGTATTAGTTCCTCCATACTAGCTGAGGGATACTGTGCCATTGGAATGGTGACTGGTCTTATGCTGGACTGGAAATAGATAACTGTTCTCGAACCGGATTGGACATAGGTGAGCTGAGGGGTGACTGTTGTAGGAACTGGACTGGTAAATTCTGTCTAATCCTCATTTGCCTTGTAACTGGTGGTAGTGAGGTAAACATGGGTTCTCCCCCAACAAGATCCCCGACTTTGCAAAGTCTTCCGACCAGGGTCCAGAGTACTTGGGAGATATCCGAACTTTTTGAGGCTATGGTTTTAAACTACCTAGCAAAAGAAATAAAGTAAAAAAAGTAGCAATCAGAAACTGCACAACACCTCAGCTAAGAGGTTATCAACACAGACATGATCAAAGCCGTAGGACTGCACTCCACACTGAATTCTGTCCAAAACAGATGCCAACTATACCACTAATATGCACATTCCTGCACAGTTTCACTATAAAGCACATACTAGTTAAGAGAGAGGCAAAACACCCCTATGATGGGGGTAGGGTTACCTTGTCCTAGTTTTTGTCATAAACTAGGATTCACTATTTTCAATCAAGCGGTTTCACGCAATCCTGCATTTAGGTGAGCGCCCTGTCCTAGTTTGGAACAGTCAATATGGCTTTTCTATATGAAACTCGACAAAACTACCTAATATACCTCTCACATCTAACATTGAGAAGTGAAAGGAGAATCAAACGGTACAGCGGTAGTCCAGATCCAAGGGTTGTGTTCCCAACATGACAGAGCCCACGACTGGTCAGCCTTTTGGCAAGCTTTTAGGCAAGCCTTCGACAAACCGTTCAGAATAACAGATGGCAAACACAGTGACTTAAGTGCACCAATGCAAAGAACATATATATGTAAATAAAGATTTCACATCATGATTTCAAGTTAAGTTCTCTATCTTGGAGTCGCCAAAGCCTGTAGCTTGCTTTTCGTGCTCCTTTCGGATACGATAGCCCTACAGTTCGGACTCCCGTGGTTTTGAATTTGATCTCACAAGTGCAATATGAAATAGATAAACACAAAGAGTCCAAATCCAGCAAATCTTTTGAAAAATCGATTTTGAATAAAAATGCCAAAAATGGTCTGCTTTGCCAGATTACAGAGTCGCCACCTAAATAATTTTGAAAAATTGAAGAAACCCGAGACTCCTGCCGAGTCGCCACCTAAATAATTTTGAAAAATTGAAGAAACCCGAGACTCCTGCCAAAGGCCATTTATCTGTCATCACTAAAGTGTCTTGGCTCAGGAACTTAGGTACGAGAGGGGAAGGTCATGAATTGAGCACACTACTCGCCCGATCAAAGATTGGCCTCTACTAAGCATGATGTGATTTTCATTTACATTATATGTTCTTGTTCCGATTATTAGGCTAACTTACAATGTGTTGTACACAAGTATAGACTAATTTGTAAAAGTTGGAACATTTTGATTTCATGTTTGTTTGAAAGTGTTTCGAATATGTACCACTTGAAAAAGTAATCTCATATATACATTAACCAAACGATCCCAATTTGAGCAATTAGCCTTCATCCACAGGTATTCAAGTAAGTATAACACTTAAGCACTTAGCCTTATGGTAATCATGTTTGATGTGGCAACAATTACACTTATGCAATATGCTAAAGCAATAAAGCTTACCCCAATTCCCGAGGTGAGCCAAAAAAGAGAAAATAGTTAGAAAAATGCATGATCCTAACTAATGTAATATGTCTAATGCAACACATGCAGTATGCAATTATTTAGGCCCGGCTACTAGCATAATATGTAAATCAATTTGATAGCATGCAGCTTTAAGCACATATTCAATGAAGTGTTAACTAACAATGTGAATTAGAATGATACGCTGGGCCTAATGCATGCAAGACAATGGATACAAGTCATGAGAAATGCTAAACGAAATGGGATGCTCTAAACTATCTCATCGTAAGTGGGTAAATAAATAGGAGAAAAAGGTGGGGTTAGAAGACATACACATTATTACAAGTTTGTCCTCGCACAGGAGGATCCGAATGAATGAACTAGCTAAGTTACTTTAACTAATTATTACATCAGCAAATGAAATAAATTAACTACATTAGCTAATTATTACAAATTGGGAATTGAACTAACTAAGTAATCAATTATTACAAGTTCACCACTTTAAGTACAACATACTACTATAACAACATAATTTAAATAAGCCTCGAAATACTAGGGATGGCTCATGCATGAACGCCGATTTTCATCCGAAAATGCCTCTATTTGGCTACCAAAATGCTTCTGTTTTGCAAGAAAAAGGAAACTGCCTGGCTGAAAAAGGAGGCCAGCATGCCAAAAATGGTGGCCAGCCGCCCACTAATAGTGGGTCTGCCGCTCAATAAAGATGGCTTGCCGGCCACTAATGTTGGGTTTCTCCTGCTACAATAGAAAACAAACAGAGCACAAATAGAGCATCCTCAGGGGATGCGTTCCCACCCTACCCCTCCTTATCATCGAATAGCTTAAAGGAATGGTAGGCTTAATTCGCAAGCCATCAATTGGCACAAATTCATTGCGTGATGACTTATGAACCAAGGGATACAATTTCAATAAATGCAAAATTAAAGACTCACGAACCCCCTCCCTATCGTGATATTGATCAAGGGAAGCGGTTGACGTTGAAACTTGAACCATTTTCATCACTAGTTAGTATGAAATGCTTCAAGACTCTACGGGTTCAATTAACGTTCGATTGAATTCCAAACTATTTTGTTATCTTACTCTATTTTATTCCAATTTTAACACATCTTTTAATTACCTTTCCATTCTTTAGTCATTTTAGTCCAAAATGAGCATTAAGTCCACTAATGGAAAGAAGTATCAAACAAAGGATTGTTTTGGGCATGAGAGAGATGTCATGCTGTTGGTAATGAACCTCCGAAGAAATTAAACCATTATGCACAACAATCTCTGTCTCAAGCTTAAACAAACAATCGGTTTGAAACGACTCTCAAAGTAAGGAAAAAGCCAAGAAATTAGAGAAGTACAAAGATGATTAGAGATGAACACAAGTATGAAAAACATGAAATAAATGCTATCAACTCAAATAGGCTGGTGTCTAATGCCTAAAACACCAAACCTATAAGTACTATTACACTATAATCATGCTATACAAAGCACAAATGAAACTAACACATAAAAACAGTTCTATATTAGCTCAAAATAGTACTAGAATTAAAGTAAAAATAGCTAGAAGAGTAAGCTAAAAGCAATCAAGCTAGCAAATAAGCCAAGGGAGAGGTGGCTAACCCCTCTATTTTTGGGACTTAAAAACACTACTTTTTAGCCTTTGAAAACCTCTAAAAATCAGTGGTAAAAGGCTTAAAAAAAGTTGATGACAAGGTGGGAAATACAAGGGTAAAGGCCTAGAAAGCAAGGGTCAAAGAGGGGGTGGTCCACTACTCTACCCTTAATGGCCTTAAACCACAAGTTTTAGCCTATAAATACAGGTGAAAAACAGTACAAAAACAACAATAAATGATGGTAAATGAATAAGGAAAAACAGCTTGGAGTTATAACTCTTGAAGAGGAATGACCCTTTGAATCGCAAACCACTAATTTCACACCCTCAAGAGCTTAAAATGCAAGCTCAAACACCTCAGCAAATAACCCTCAAG